ACAAACAAAAATCCCAAATAAAATATTTATACCTAAAGGTACTGGAAAAGAAGAACAAACAAACCCCAAAATAAGTAGAAGCAAGGAAATAAAGACCAGAGTGGAAATAAATAAAACAGAGGCTTTAAAAAAGAAAAAAGAAAAGAAAAAAAAACAGTTGAAAAGTTCAATGAAACTAAGAGCTGGTTCTTTGTATTAGCAAACAAAATTAACCTAGATGAAATAGACAAAGCTTAGCAACACATAGGCTTCCTAGCTTGAATCATGAAGAACTGAAAAATCTAAGTAGACCCATCAACAGTAAGGAAATTGAATCAATTATCCAAAATCTTCCCAAAAGCAAAAAGTCCAGGACCAGATGGCTTCACTTGTGAATGCTACCAAACATTCAAAGAGCATCCAATATCTGTCCTACTCAAACTCTTACAAAAAATTAAAGAAGAGACAACACTCTCTCATTTTATGAGGCCAATATTACCCTGATACTAAAGCCTGGTAAGAATAACACAAAAAAAGAAAATTACAGACCAATATTTCTGATGAATACAGATACAAAAATTCTAAACAAAATTCTAGCAAATCGAATTGCAACAATGAATTAAAAAAATTATACATCACAACCAAGTGGGGTTCATCCCAGGGGCACAAGGATGGTTCAACATACACAAATCGATCAATGTGATATACCACATAAACAAAATAAAGAACAAAAATCATATAATTATATCAATAGATGCAAAAAAAGCATTTGACAACACACAACATCCATTCATCATTAAAACACTTAATAAAATGGGTATAGAGGGAAATACTTCACATAATAAAGTCCATATATGACAAACCCTCCGCTAATATCATGATTAACAGTTAAAAACTGAAGCCTTTCACTCTATGTTCGGGAACAAGACAGGGCTATCCCCTATCACTTCTGCTTTTTGACATAGTATTGGAAGTCCTAGCCAGAGCAATCAGGCAAGAGAAAGAAATAAAAGGCGCCCAAATTGGGAATGAAGCTAAATTGTCACTTTTTGCAGATGACATGATGCTACATACAGAAAACCCTAAAGACTCCACAAAAAGCTATTAGAAAAAATAAACAAATATAGTAAGGTTGCCAGCTACAAAATCAATATACAAAAATCCATTGCATTCCTATATACTAACAATGAAATCTCAGAAAAAATGAATTTTTAAAAAATCCTTTTGTAATTATAACAAAAAGAATAAAATACCTAGGAATAAACTTAACCAAGGATGTGAAAGACCTATACACTAAAAACTATAAGACATTTTTAAAAGATGTTGAAGAAGACACAAAGAAATGGAAAGACATTTTCTGTTCATGTGTTGGAAGAGTCAACATACTTAAAATGGCCATATTACCCAAAGCAATATACAGATTTAATGCAATGCCCATCAAAATTTCATTTTTTAAAGAAATAGAACAAAAAAATCATCACATTTTTTTAGAACCACAAAAGACCCCAAGCAGCCAAAGCAATCCTAAGAAAAACGAATAATGCTGGAGGTATCACACTCCCTGACTTCTGCTTGTACTACAGAGCAACAATAATCAAAACAGTACGGTACTGGCAGAAAAACAGATACACGGACCAATGAAATATAATTGAAAACCCAGAAATAAACCCACATAAACATGGACAGATAATTTTTGACAAAGGATCCAAAAACATACAATGGAGAAAAGACAGCCTCTTCAAGAAATGGTACTGGGAGAATTGGAAAGCCACTTGCAAAAGAATGAAACGAGACTGCTATCTGTCATCACATACCGAAATTAACTCAAAATGGATCAAAGACCTAAACATAAGACCTGAAACAACAAACTGCATAGAAGAACACATAGGTGCTAAACTTATGAACCTTAGGTTCAAAAAGGATATTATGAATTTGACCTCAAAGGCAAGGGAAGTAAAAGCTAAAATAAATCAATGGGATTATATCAAACTTAAAAGCTTCTGCACAGCAAAAGAAGCCATCAACAAAATAAAGATGCAACCAACTGAATAGGAGAAGATTTTTGCAAACAATACCACTGATAAGGGGTTAATACCCCAAATATATAAGAAACTCATATAATTCAACAATTTAAAAAATCCAATTTAAAAAATGGGCAGAGGACCCGAATAGACATTTCTCCAAAGAGGAATGTCTTTGGAGACATGTGAAAAAATGTTCATCACTAATCATCAGAAAAATGCAAATAAAAACCACAATGAGATATCACCTCACACCAGTTAGAATGGCTATCATCAACAATACGAATGATAACAAGTGTTGGAGAGGCTATGAAGAAAAAGGAATCCTCATATACTGTTGGTGGGAATGCAGATTGGTGCAGCCACTACAAAAGGCAGTGTGGAGGTTCCTCAAAAAATTAAGAATAGAATTACCATATAACCCAGCAACCCCTCTCCTAGGTATCTACCCAAAAAAATATGAAAACATTTATCCATAATTATATATGTGCTCCGATGTTCATTGCAGCTTTGTTTATTGTGGCTAAGACATGGAAACAACCAAAGTGCCCTTCAGTAGGTGATTGGATGAAGAAGACACAATGGAATACTATTTTGTTATAAGAAAAGATGAAATAGTATCATTTGCAACAAAATGGATGAATCTTGAGATTATTATGCTAAGCAAAATATGTCAGACAGAAAAAGTTGAGAATCATGATTTCACTGATATGTGGTATATAAAACTGGAAACAACAAAAGAACAAGACAAACAAATATAGAAACAAAAATACTAGACACAGGCAATAATGGTTACCAGAGGGTAAGAGGGGGTGGGGTTGTAGATGAGGGTAAAGGGAATCAAATATATGGTGATGGAAGGAGAACTGACTCTGGGTCGTGAACACACAATGTGATATATAGATAATGTAATACAAAATTGTACACCTGAAATCTATGTAACTTTACTAACCATTGTCACTCACCCCAATAAATTTTAATTTAAAAAATTAAATAAACATATATAAAGCAGACAATAATATTTAAGAATCCACTGGGGAAAAAAAAGGGCATATGACATTTTCCCCTTGTTCCTCCTAGGAAGACATGACATATACTCATATGCATGGAACACTGAAGTAGTACAAGGTAGTACACACTTAAGCATTTGTTAATAATTATTATAAATACCATAGATTTAAGGAATGAACAAATCAGTGTGAGATAAAATCTTTATAAAGGGCTTATAGAAGAAATAATATTTAAACTTAACCATAGAGAGCAGATTTATAAAGGAAAGATTAAAGGAATCCATTTCTGTTCAAAAATGCAATGTTATGATGAGATCAGAGAGAGATTATGGCAAATTGAGGAAATGAAGCAAACAGCACCCCTAGATAAGAGGGATTTCTTCAGGGGGCTGCAAGAGATAAAGATTTTGTGATAATAATGGAAACATTTTACATGTAATTTTGAATATGAGACAGAGATACAATTTACACCTTAGGCAATGGGGAACAGTAAAGGGAAGAGATAAATTAAACATGTTATTTTAAGAGGACTGACAAAGAAGCTGAATACAGAATCATTTGATATATTAGACAAGTATGTAAGAGATGGGACATCAAACACCACTGTGAAAATCTAGGTATAAAATATGCAAAGGCAGGGTTAAATAAAATCAATAGGAATTTAAGATACAATAGAAATAAGCAGTTTAAAGAACAAATTCACATAGTGCAACATCTAATTAGGTTTAGTAGATGAAGGATGAAAAGAGTCTAAGAAAATTCTTAAATATCAATTTAGGCTTGATTGATACTAAAGGCATAGGAAAACATTTCCCTAAAGTTGCAAGAAAGCTGTGCAGGAAGAGTATGAAATGTACTGAACAATTCATCCAGATAATTATTCAGTCAATTCTCTAAGGCTTCATTGTTGTACACTTGAGAGTTGGTTGTGGGTAGCTGAAATTCCAGAAAACTCCCTCTGGGTGAAGAGTGGATAAAACTGCTTGCTGTGTTTGTGGCTGATATAATAGCACCTAAACTCTGGGCATGTCTCCCAGATGATGGGATGGAATTCCCTGATGACACATGGCAATACGAACCTGCTTATCTACATCTGCAGTATAGCAAGTAAATTAGGGCAGCAGAGGCATAAAATTCTGGAATATTTTAAAAATATATGTGCTCCAGGGCCAGCCGAGTGGCGCGATGGTTAAGAGCTGGCTTGGGATGCCAGAAGACCCCGGTTCAGATCCCACATATGAGGGCCAGTGGCACTGCCCTCTACAGCTAAGATGCTGAACAACAGCTCAACCTGGAACTGGGCTGCCAGGGTTGCTGGTGACGGCTGTAGGCTGCAGCCCCTTTTGTAGTGGGTTACCATGGGCTACCGTGTGTAGCCAGCAGCCAGCGTGAGCGGCCAGCAGCCGCTGTGACTAGCCATCCAGAAGCCGGCGACTGATCTGCCTC